AGTTCACTTACCCCAATCTACTCTCACAATGTCACTTCTGTTTCACAGAAAAGAACCACCACCAAGTAGCTATAACTCAAACTCTTTCAGAGTCCTAAGGTTAACTTTGTTGGATGTGTGAGGAAGGTAGGAGTAAAGTAGATACATTCCGACTACCTGCCATGTAGCTTGTAAATCCTACATGATGTTTTCCATTTACACAAAATCAGACATTTTTAGCTTTAAAACAAAGTATTTAACAAATGATAAGGCAAAAGCAAAAATAATTATAATGTTACAATTATTCAATGTAAATATATTCAGTAATACTAAAGGGGAGAGCAGAAAACTCCCCAAATCTTCCTTTATAGAGGGCTCAGAATTTCCATCCAACTCTTTATCTCCCATCAGCTCATTGGTTTTGACTCCATCAGCATCATGTTTCCTCTAGGATACACTCATCACCAAGAAACTCATAATCCTGAAGACTGTTTCAGCTTTGCTAATTACATCTTATTGATATCCTTAATTCTTCTGCCCTGGCTGTAGGACAGAGCAAAAAATCCCTCCCCAAACCTCCATTTATAGAGGTTTCAGAATTTCCAAACAGTTCTTCATCTTCCACAAGCTAGTCTGCTTGGTTTTCACTCTACCAACATCATGCCCCTGCACTAGGTACCCTCTGGCAGCCTCCCTTATCCCTCCTCCCACTTTTAGCTAGCTTTTATATATTGTCTTTTCCCATTAGATTGAGAGCAGAGACTTTCTTTTTCTTATATGCATCCTTAGCACTAAGCACAGTTCACTATACATAGGAGGCACTTAATAAATGCTTGTTGTATTGTATATTCCGTAAGTCACAGTATATACACAAACCGATACACAATCACACTAACCTAGCAGGGAGTCACATGAGTAAGGAAAATCCATGTGCTCAGGGCAACTCGCAACTCTGGACTATGGTTCTTGATGTTTTAGTCTACTCATGAAAAATCTGCCCCCACATGAAGCCACGTCTTTGCTAGTCCCTCCTTTTTTGTTCTTCACTGTTCTCATACTAGGTAAATCTCCCCCCTCCCCCAATGTACTCCCAAACTCACAATGCAATGACAAGTTCTCTTTACTCACAATCACCCTTAAAAGGGCTCTGAACAAAAACTATAACATCATAGTGACAAGCGATTTCCTTAAGCTGGAAAACTTCAAAACTTCACAAGCTGGCTCTCTGGGCAATACAGACAAACCCAGAGAACTCCTCACTCACTCAACTCAATTATATATCAGCTCTTAGTGTCTTAGTGTCAGCAAAACTGAGTTCACAGCAAAACTCCTAAATCAGCTCTGTCTATATAACTAATAGCAAAGTTTCTGCAAAGCCTTTCTTCCCCCTCTATTTTTCCTTCTCAAATAAGAGAAACACAACAGAGAGCAGTCATCTCTGAGAAGATTTTGTTGCTGTTTTCAGTTATTTTAGTCATGTCCAACTCTTCATGCCCTCATTTGCGGTTTTCTTGGCAAAGATACTGGAATGGTTTGCCATGCAGATGAGAAAACTGAGACAAACAGGGTTAAATGACTTGTCCATGGTCATACAGCTAGTAAGTATCTGAGGTCAAATTTGAACTCAAGTCTTCTGGACTCCAGGCCTGGCACTCTATCCATTGCATTACCTACCTGCCCTCTCTCAATCTACAGATAGTGTTGAAAAGCAGTAACTGAAACAGCAACAAAGCTCATCTCTCCTACACCAGCAGGCTTCCAGGTTTTCCGATAGCCACTCTGCAAAGCAATATTTCTTTTCTTATCAGCTGACTCCTAAATATAGCACTGAAGCTTTACTGCCGCCTGAAAGCATCTACTGGCATCTGTATACCTTCTTTCCTTCTATGTTCTTAACACTTCTGCTCTTGCAAGGTTTTTCTCTTATCTAATGACTTATCTATGTGTGGTCAGTGACATATCTTTCCCTTATAAGGCAAAACTCATGAAATCCAGCCCATTAGACTGTGAGCTCTTCTGAATCTATTCATCTGCAGGGATAGTTCTCTATCAGGTTCTTCTCATAAGATTCTCCTCATATATTAGTGGAAAACATGTGTTTTTTCACCCATGAATTTTATTAGTTTTTCATGCATTTTTTTCAATTCTTTTCCTCCCCCCAACCAGTAAGCCAATTCATATGTCAAAGGAACAGAACCTTACATCCTTCACACGTTGATTTAATCCTTTTTCTCTATACAAAAGCTTTTCTTCCCTTTCAAAAACCAAATTACTCACATATAAGTGATATGAGTAATTACTCACTTACTCTGTAATCCATCTTACACTGGTGAATTCTATACACATTCTCGTCCCTTTTCTTGAATTGGATTGCTGATAATGAAATTCTTGCTTCACTCCCAATCTTGTTGGAAAGGCTTTTCTTTTGTTATTGATATAACCTATTACATTGTTTTCCTGATATTGAACCAAACGAGAACACTGATATAAATTCTTTGCTAATATTTTTGTAACAAGGATTTGAGAACTGACTAACATTTTGGGATTTGGAATTCAGAGTTAAGAGCAGACTACCATGATCTTTAAGACAAAAGGTGGATTGGATTTAAGCCTAGTACTTTTGAAAAAGATTCTCCCCGTCTTTGAGAGAACAGCTGAATGGAAAAGCTGGAGCTATGTAAGTTGAACAGTAGTGACCTCAAACCCCTTGGTCAGTTAGGGAGTATCTACCCCAAACATGTGAGTGGATGAGAACAATTTGTTCCAATCACCATGAAAGTGGCTGAAGCGGGCACTGTGGAGCACTTAGAGCTTGGTCAGACACTGAAAACACCAAGGTCATCCACTGCATCCTGGGCCTTTGCCAGTCCGCCTGTCACTGGACTTCAGTGACTCTGGAAGAGAGAATGAGGCTGATGACTTTGTGCAACTCTGCCTCACTTAAATCCAATTCACGGGAGTCAAGACATCATTCTGTGGTGTCATTGGTCCTCTTTGAAAATGAGGGATAAGCAACAACAATAATATTTTGACTGATATAAACCCCATAAAATACCAGTACTACATTATATCATTATATCATCCCCAGGCTAGAAGTGAGCTAATTATTGTCTAACCTTTTACCTAAGAAAGAAGACTGAAGGAAGGGCAGTGACCAAAGAAGTCATACCCTAAATAGTGATTTCCCCACAGAGGAGATTAGCAAGGCCTGCTGAACCTTTAGTTCTGCCCCTTTTTAGAAGGAACAAAGTAATAGAAAGGATTGAGTGCTATGTGGTTAACTATGCCTCCACTGTGATGCCCACTACTATTGCATTTTAGTAAATAATTTATCCATCAGGGATAGTGATCTGTAGTTTTCTTTATTTTCTCTCCCTCATTTAGATATAAAGATCATATTTTTTCTCATAGAAGGAATTTGATGTGATTCCTTTTATGATTTTTGCAAATAACTTATGTGATATTAGAATGGATTATTCTTTCAGTGTTTGACAGAATTCACTTGTATAGATAGAATTCACTATGTCGTTTGATTTTTTTTTCCCCCTTTAGAATTTCCTTTATAGCTTGATTAGCATTTTTTCTGAAATGGGATTATTTAAATTTATTCCTCCCTATCCCTACTTATTTCCCTGTCAAAATCAATGTAGAGGGCAGCTAGGTGGCCCAGTGGATAGTGCACCTGAGTTCAAATCCGGCCTCAGGCACATAACACCCACTAGCTGTGTGACTCTGGGCAAGTCACTTAACCCCAATTGCCTCACCAAAAAAAAAAAATCAATGTGATTCTCTTTTCCTTGTTCTGTTAATCTGGATGTTTTGTGTTTTGTAACTATCATTTAATTTGAGCTATCATTTTGTTGGCATTTAATTAGATAAAATCCTTTCTAATACCCCCCTATTTTCTTTTCATTTATTGAGTTCCTTTTTTTCAGTTTTGATGTAGGTAATCTGATTTTCTTTTCTCTTCTTAAATCATCTTAATTAATATTTCATTTTGTTAGTTTTTCCACCAAAACTCAGCTCCCAGATTTATTTAAATCAGTTTTTTCTTTGAGTTTTGTTCATCTCTTCTTTGATTTTCAAAGTATCTATTTTATGTTTAGTTAGGACTTTTTATTTATTATCTTTCTAGATTTGTTTTTGTTTTATGCCCAATTCATTATTGTTTTTTCTTCTGTTATTGAAATTGTTTAGTGAATAATTTAGAGAACTCTTCTCTCTGGAGTTTTTGTTTTATGAGGAGGAAGAAAGCACTAACCATCCTGGGCAGCATGGAAGTATTCCTAGAGAAAGTAGTACCTGAGCTGAGCCCTGAAAGAAACTAAGCGTTCTAAGAAGAGGAGAGGAAGAAGTGCTTTCCAGGTATTAAGAAACATCCTATCTAAAGGCTCGGAGATTGGAAATGGAAGGCTAAACTGGGAAACATTAAATAACTACAAAAGTAACAGTTTGGCTGGAAGTATGTTGTGGCTATACTCTAAAGGGTTTTATATCTTATTCTAGAGAAGGGAAGTGACATTTTAATCAGACTATATTTTAGGAAGAAATTTGGGCAGTTATATGGAAGACAGATGGGGAAAAAAGACTGAACGGCGTGGGGGTAGGGGGTGGTATATTATAATAATCCAGATAAGAGGACTTAAACTGAGGAAATGACTGAGTGGAGCTGAAGACTGATACAAGGGATGTTGTGAAGATATAAATAACAAAACCCATTAGTTCAGATGTAACAGTTCCTAGAAAAGATTGTATTGCTGTAATGGCGGCTAGAGGAAATTAAACTCATTTACATCCTCGTTTACAGCCTTATTGATCCCATTACTTTTCGGTGTACTTCTCAACTGGGGTTTTCCTTTGCTACCATGGCAACTTTCCTAGCCCAAGTTTTCACCCCGCCCCCTCCACCCTCCTTTCTCACTTGACCAATCGGCCCCACCGGAGTGCGGCGCGTGGCAGGCAGTTGAATGCCCCGCAGAGCCTGAGGTCACAAAGGAAGAGACTGGGTGAAATAGGTGCGTCTTTGCTCAAGGGAGCGGGGAGGCATCCCTGAGAAAGGGCGTTACAATCCCCGGTATAGGGGGGGTGAGTGACTGTGTCTTTTTCCTTTTCTTGGTCACACCTCATAGGTGAAACTACTGATAGGTGAGTGACCCCAAATGACACCAGCTCCCTGCAGACCCTCCACAGTTACCTTCCTGGGACAAGGAGTGTCAGGAATCACGTTACAGAGCTGTCGTGGAAGACCCGGTAGAGCAGCTCTTTACGGTCCCAAATTCATGGCAAAAGGCAGTGCATTCCTTTCCCCCACAGTCCCAACCCACGCAGACTTGACCCCGCCTTGGACAGAGCCAGAATTGTACGTGAAAAACACAGCAGAAGCGACTTTAATGGAAAGATGTTTGGATTTGGAGTCAGGGATCTTAGATTTTAGAGGGGACATTGGAGGCTATCTAGCCCACCCTCCTCATTTTGTAGAGGAAGAAATTGAGACATAGGTTCAGTGACAAGTGCCCAGTCATGTAAATAGTAAGGTCTGAAGGGAGTTTGAATTCAGGTCTTCTTCCCTCCAGGTCCAGTGTTCTATCCGTGCCATCTCTCAAAACTGGACCTTAGCTCTGCCACTGACTGCCTATGGAATCTTGAGCATTATTTCATTATTGGTTTCAGTTTCTTCATCTGTAAAATGATCTAACTAAATCTCCCGATAATCTATGATACCTTCTTCCTCCCCTCCCTCACCCAGCCTTCCTCTTTCCTTTGCCAAACAAAATCTAATAGGGTCCAGGAAACCAGTCCCCTTACTTTAAATCCAGTGCTTTTTCTGTTACCTCACTGTTCCTTATAACTTGAAATTTGTATACAACATATCTTAATAAGAGGTTTTCCAGTCGTTGATTATTTATTTTTTAAACAAACAAGAGAGAAAATCAGAGAATGATATATTTTAGCCTCTAACTCAGCATGTTTCCAAAAAGACAGCTAGCAGCATTATTTTTCTTTTCCTCTATTGGTTATGATGGAAAGGTGGGATGGGACAGGATGGGATGTAATGTCTGTCTGTTCTGAAGTTTTCCTTTTCCCAATGTCATCATATGTTGGCAGTTGGGATTGCTGAAGGAAAGATTGAAGGATGGTGAGAGATGATTCCTCCTCCCTGAACCCAAATAGCTGGGGTTTATTGCAACTTTGTTTATTTGCTATCTGTACCTTTAAGATGCCTTTTGTCTCCAGGTAAAGATAAGCCCACATTTATTGCATCCTGAATGTGTTTTCTATAGAGGAGTGGATAAGAAGGGGAAATGAGGAGGTGGGAGCAGGGGGAATTTTCTTATTTTCACTGTTCTTTCTATAGGGAGGGGGAGGATGAAAGTGGATTCATGAGACCAATTCCTCTGGACTTTAAACAGAAAAAAACCTACCAATCCATATTAAGCTTTCTGTAGGATACAAGAAGGGAGAGGTTAATAACTAAATTGTAAATAATATATCGTAGGGACATATTGAGGTAATCAGAGTGTTATATGTATTTTAAAATAAAATTTCTTTTGAAATGTTATCTCAGAGCTATTCATACAAACACATTGTTCTTGTTTATACATGAAACCCTCCTGGGGGTGGGGGTGGGGGGGAAGGAAGAGGGGGAGGGGTGTCAGACAAAAGAAACAGAGACAGAGACAGATAGACAGACACACAAGAGAAAGGGAAGGAGAGAGGAAGAGGACTTCAGTATAGATGACATCTAGTGTTATTGGTCTAAGCCTAAGGCATTAGTGCCAAACTCAAATAGAAAAGTGGGGCCACTAAACCATACTTCAGGATCCTTGCTGCCACTTATTGATTAATTAGAAAACCACATAACATTATCAATATTCTATTGTATTTTTATTTACTTTGTTAATTATTTCCCAATCACATTTTCCCATACCTATGGTCTTTGTCCTCCATACTGTGTTCCATTCCTTCATAGCAAACACTTGCTCAGTATAGCTTATATTTGTCTAGAGACAAACCCATTATAAAAGTACAGATAGCAAATAACAAAATGCAAGAGAACAGGAAACTCTCTAGGATACACAATCCTAGTTTGTCAGATAGTGGTGAGACAGAGGAGTAGGGAGGAAGCGAAGAAGGAATAATCAGATCCCAATGCGGAAAGCAAATTCTATCCAAGTAGAGCACTCCTGGCAAGAGCCAGACCAGGTTCCAGACTGCTCATTATTATGTTCAATTCAGGTTAGCAGTGTCGTGTCTTTGCAAAGGAGATAGGAGCTGTGGGTTCCAGGTTTCTGCCCTCTGTGATCTTTAGTTCTTCCACCCTGGTGAAAAAAGCTACATTTCTCATCAGCCACCTCACAGAGTAGAGGATACATAAATAATTATTTTAATAAATTTTGGCAACATATGTCATAAATTTTGATTTTTCAAATAAAATTTCCTTTCTTTGTACATTTCTTTCCCAACTAAAGCAAAGAGAAGGGCTACCATACTATGTGACAATTAAGATATTAAGATAGCCTGTCCAGATACTTCAGTAAAAACTTTTTTTTAATGTAGCAATCTTATTTCCACATTTATTTTAGCAGCAAAGACCAAGCCTATCTCTACTTTATCTTTAAATGATTGTAGATTTTTAAATAAGTAATTTAGCAGTAGTTAGTGTAATTTTTTTTCTTTTAGGCAAGCAAATAATTTTCTGAAGAGGCAACTTTTCTGCCAATACCTTTAATTTTCATTTAGTATGCAAATAGTAGAGTAGTTTTGAATGCTGGCATTTGAAGAGATATAATAAGGAAGGAAAATAGCATTTATTAAGCACATACTATATGCCAGGCACTTTGTTAAACACTTTACAAATACAATCCCATTTTATTCTCACAACAACCCTGGGAGGAAGGTGCTATTATTATAGCAGACAGGTAAGTTACCAACTCCAGGTCTCACAGCTACTAACTGTCTGAGACCATACTTGAACTCAGATCTTCTTGACTCCAGGGACCAGTTCTCTATCCACTGCACCACCAGCTTGAGGACAAAGGCAAGACTTGGGAGTAACTATTGCTGTACAGTAGGATTTGAACAAGTGACTTAACCTTTCTGTAATTATCTTGATTTTGAGGAAGTGCTAATCCACACATTTTTATCAATTGAAAAATTGGTGGTCAGAATGAGAATTGCCAAAATATTTTTGTTAAACTTAAGATTTCTTTTTATGGTTGTATGTACAATTGGACCTTTCTATTGACTTCCTAGGACTTATAAAGATTATATGTAATTTTTATTATAATAGTTATTTTTCATTAGAAAATTTTTATTAGAATGGATAGAATGTAAATTCCTTGAGGGCAGATACTTTAGAAATCATCTAGCCCATTCTATTTTGCATGATGTAAGTGACCTACACTGGTAAAAGTGACTTTTCCTAGGTCAAAGCTGGAATTAGGACCCACTTTTCCTAACTCCTAAATATAGTAGTTATCTTCAAATGTTTGACAGCTTATTGTATTAGAAAGCTGTTACATGAGTGGTATGGTATGGCATAGTAGATAGAGAGCTGGTCCCGAAATCAAGAAGATCTGGGCTTAAGTCCTATCTCTGATATTGCTGGTTGTGTCACCCTCAGCAAGTCACTTAACCTCCTAGTGCTCAGAGCAACTCTCTAAAACTATAGTTTGCAAAGGAGGTATTGACTCACATTGGTAAAGAGAGTTGCCTCTCCTGAAAGTTTGCCTATATGGCTGACACCACACGGTCCAGTATTGTCATTATTATATTGCCATAGCCCAACTATGGACACTGAATATTTTCCAGTTATTTTAGTTGTTCTTTATTTCTTTGAGGAACACTTTGTAATTAAATCTATACAGGTATGTTGTATGCTTTGGTAGACTGATCCCCGGATAACTAATACATTTTAGAGTGATTTAGAATATAATTTCTCCTTCTATTATTGCCTCTTGGATTTTGGTATTGATATACAGAAATGCTTTTGATTTTCAGTAGTTTATTTTATGTTATGTTATGTTATTTTATTTTATTTTTTGGCTAGGCAATGGGGTTAAGTGACTTGCCCAGTGTCACACAGTAACTGTTATGTATCTGAGGCAGATCTGAACTCAGATCCTCCTGAATCCAGGGCCAGTGCTCTATCCACTGCGCCACCTAGCTGCCCCCAGTAGTTTATTTTGAAGCCTAAAACGTATTAAAGCTATTAATTATCTTAATTAATATTCTTGCTGATTCCCTAGGATTTTCCAAATAAGCCATCATATCATCAGCAAATATAGTTTTACCTCCTTTTTACCTAACTTTTACATCTTTAGTTTCTTTCTCTTGTCTTATCCCTAATTGCTAATGTTTTCAGAACAATATCAAATCATAGTGGGAAAAGTGGATGTCCTTTCTTTACTCTCCAGCATTTATTGGGAAAGGTTTTAGTGTATCTCCCATCCTCCTATAGAAAGTGGGATTTAAGCTGAGTCCTGAAGAAAGCCAGGGAAGTAGATTTAAAGGTGAGGAGGGACAGAGTCCTAGGTATGAGGGATAGCCAGTGCAAATACACAGAGGTGGGAGATGGAGTGTTATATATAAGGAACAGCAAGTAGGCCAATGTAGCTAAATTATAAAATGTGTAAAGGGAGCAAAATGTAAGAAATTGGCCCACCTTTGAATTTCTGAATTGTCAAAGTTGTACTGAACATTCTATATTTTTACCCAGTTTACCCAATTATTAAGATAAAGTTACCTAATTATTAAAAGGGATTAATAATGACCAAAGATTAATGCCTACAAAGCAAAGGTCAGAATTAAGGTTTCAGTATGGAAGTTTTTTGTTTTGTTTTGTTTTGAAACTCACTTTTCTGTAACGGATCAATCAGCCCTGTGACTATGACCTTATTAAGACTGTAATCTAACCATCTGAGCCAATCAAACTACGACATTATGATTATAACTTAGGTGTTTTGAAAAAATATACTAACTCCTTGACCTTGAATTATACTTGTCTTTTTTGCCATCTTATGCCACCCCTTCCTTCCTTCTCATCTGTGGCAGAGCTTAATTTGACTTTCTCTTTGCTAACTCACAGAATCAGAGAATTTGAGGAGTTAGAAAGGATCTCAGCCACCATCTAGTATAATAACCCACTTAGTCATTCATCCTCTACTTGAAGACTTCCAAGGAGGGAAAACCTACCACCTTTTGAGGCAGCCTGCTTCATTTTTTGAGAGCTTTGATTGTTTTTTGTCTTTTTTTTCTTTTTTAGGCAATTGGGGTTAAGTGACTTGCCCAGGGTCATACAGCTAGTAAGTGTCAAATGTTTGGTCTGAGGCCAAATTTGAACTCAGGTCCTCCTGACTTCAGGGCCGGTGCTCTATCCACTATACCACCTAGCTGCCCCTGAGAGCTTTGATTGTTAGGACTGACCAACTACAAGTTGTTAGGATAGCATTTGTATTGGCAGTAACTTGAGATTGCCAATGGAAAGAAGTCTTTTCTTTTCTTTTGGCCTTATCATCATGTTTGAATGACACAGATTGTCAGAGTTAGAAGACACCTCAGTGACCATCTAGTCCATTTCATATACAACTTGATTCAATTCAACTCCAAGTTCCCTTTGGGGTAATGATTGGGTTTTCTCCCTAGATTTAAAGTGAAATTGAACATTGATTATGTCAGGGCTCCAAGTGACTTTTAGTCATTTGACACAAAGCTGGATGATAGTCAAGACCCAGAAATATCAATATTAGTCTGAATTTAATTAGAGTGAACTTAATAGGGCTAAATTTAAAGTGCTATACTTAGGTTAAAGAAAAACATTTTTTTTTCAAGAGCAAGATAGGGAGGCATGGCTAGATTGTAGTGTGGAAAAGATCTAAGGGTTTTTAGTAGACCATACTAAATGAGTCAACTAAATATGAGTCAACACTGTTATAGAAAAGGCCCAAAAGTTAATTATAATTTTTGATTCCCTTAAGAGAAATTAGTATCCAGAGCTAAGAAGGTGATGGTGGGGGGAGAAGGAATTAGAAAAGAAAGGGAGAAGGGAGGGAAAGGAGGGAGAAGGGAGAGAGAGACAGAAAGATAGACACAGAGAAAGAGGCAGCGACAGAGACAGAGAGACAGCAACAGAGACAGAGAAACCTTTATTAAATGCCTACTATGAACCTGGCACAGATACAAGCAAGCAAGATAGTCCCTGCCCTTAGGAGTTTACATTTTAATAGCATGAAAGGGAGCTGGAAAAGGGTGTGTGTGTGTGTGTGTGTGATTCTCTGCAAGATAAGGTGATATCTCACCCACCTATAAGAGCTCGAGCGGGGGAAGGAGAGGCACAGATTATAGGGCATTTCAGAGCCAGAGTTCCAGGTTTCTGTGAGGAGGTAGGGACAGAGGATCACTAGAGCAGGGCATATTGAACTTTTTCACTCATGACCCCTTTTTACCTGAGAAGTTTTTACATGACCCCAGGTATATAGTTATAATCAAACATTTACTGATAATAAATCATAAATTTATTTAAAAACAATTCTTTGGTATACATATAATTTTACCACTTATTAAAGACAAAAGCAAATTTGCATACTAATGAGATGGATGTGCTTGTTCATTTTTACATAAAGAATTAAATCTTGGTAGAATATTTGATACTGCAGGATGTAGAGCATCTTCAACATTTTTCAGAGTTGGTCGATATTTCACTTTTATAATCGTCAATGCTGAGAACGCCACGTCACATAAATTCATAGTACAAAATGGCAGAAGTATGTTTAGTTAGGGCCATTTCAGAAATTGTTGGAAATTCTGTACTAATCCCAAGCCAAAATTCATTTAAAGATTTTGTACGTACAGTAAAAACACTGCAATTCGTGACATAATATAGTCTCAAATCAGCCGAGGTGGTTCCAGCAGTGTTGGAGTTGCATGGCAGGAGGGCATGCACAGTGTAAAGTGTTCAGAACCAAGGCTGCAGTGAAGTTGCCCGATGTGACACAGGCAAGCACTGCTGAAACACCTCAGATTCAATGTGTTTGATTTTGAATTAATTTTGGGTCGTTGCACATTCAGAAACCTTTTACTGTTACCAAATTTTTCACAACCCCCACCCTTAGTTTAAGAAGCACTGCACTAGAGTACAGGCTGTATGGTTTGGAGTTACTATTCTCTATTCAGGTCAGACCTCATCTGAGTATTGTGTTCAATTCTGAGTGCTTCATTTTGGGGAAAATGTCAGTAAACTGGAAAGCATGTAGAAGAGAATAACTAAGATGGTGGAGAGCCCAACGATCATGACAAACAAGGGTCAGTTGAAGGAACTGAGGATATTTAGGTGTCTGGAGGGCTGTTTTGTGAGAGAGGAATTAAGCCTCTTTATCTCTGCTTGACACCAGAGGACAGACCTTGGAAAATGCATAGAAGTCATAGACAGGCAGATTGGTAAGGGAAAACTTTGTAACAATTAAAAATATCCAAAAGTGGAATTGGGCTCCCTTTGTAGAGGTCTTTAAATGAACACTGGATGACCAATCTTCGGAGACGGTGGTTCTTGTTCAAATAGAGTTGTACTAGGTAATTCCTAAGTTCTTTCCCAGGCTCTGAAATTTTGTGATCTCTGGTCCAAAAGCCAATGATTCAATCTTAAATTTCTGAAATAAAGTTCACTAACTTAGAGAGGCACTTTAGCCTTTGCCACAATTCAAAACTTATCAAAATAGAGGATGCCTTGTGGTTTCTTGAGGGCAAGGACTGTTGTAAATTTTGGTCTTTGTATCTCATACTGCCTTACACATAGTAGGGAGCTAATTACTATTTTAAAAATTAAACTGAAGAAAGTATTTAGGGTCATCAAATCAGGGAAGGACTAGTAGAACGTGACACTAGTAAAAGTAGTGCAGTATTCTTGTCCCCTATATTCTGCATGACTTTTGGTTAAAGCACATTTCAAGAGTATTATTATAAATGTGGTTTAAATATTGCTTATGGTCTTCATCTTTCACCAAATGAATGAAATTTTTCTTATCAGGTTGTAGGATTGGACATCATATCTGAGTAACTAACCACAGTTATTATTAATGCAGAAATAAAGTATTAACATATGCTCTAAAGAAAATAAAAGCATATGATATGCTTAATTCAATAGAATTTTTTTTTCTAATGATGCTGGAAAGTGAATGTTATTTTCATATTTGAGGTATGTAGAAATTCAAAGTTTACATTTGACACCTGGTTACAAATGAGCTGTCAGGAAGAAAACTTCTTTTTCTAACCTAGATTTAGCTTTATATAACCTCAATAATAATAACAATAATAATAATAATAATAGGAATTGCATGCATCATAAAGATAAATATGTTAGTTTTTAACCATAGATTATTGTTACCTAAGTGATCTTCTTTCTGTTTTGGTTTATACAGGACAGACTTAAGTATCTATTTTTCCAGCATGGAGTTTTTAGGATCTACCTTAACAGCAACTTTTGCCCATCCTAGCCCCACACCTCCCAATTTTCTACCAGCTATCAGTACCATGGCATCAAGTTATAAGAATCGATTTCCTCACTACTCCTTTACTCATAGGTTGAGCCTTCCATGGAGACCAAGCACATATTATAAAGTAGCTTCCTATTCACCTACCTTAGCTCCATTATCCAGAGGAGCTGAGGGACCATGTAGGAACAGGATGCTTCCCTTTATTTCTAATAGAACAACACTTTTCACAAGATATACACCAGATGATTGGTACAGATCCAACCTGACAAATTACAAAGAGTCTGAAAGTTCCAGACATAATGCAGAAAGACTAAGGGTAGATACATCTCGGATGATTCAAGACAAAGATCAACAAACAAGAAATACCCAATCAGATACCACCAAAAACTTAGGAGAAAGAGTCAATGACATTGGATTTTGGAAATCAGAACTCATTCACGAGTTGGATGAGATGATTGGAGAAACAAATGCACTTACAGATGTTAAGAAAAGGTTGGAGAGAGCTTTGGCTGAAACAGAAGCACCTCTTCAGGTAAATATTACATCTTGTGGTGAAACTTACTCTGCTATGTACTATAATCTAGTAGACACCCTCTTGTAGCTATTGAAATACTTCAATTAAACATATGTGATAGCATATATCTTTTATAAATAAATTTTAATCATAACTTACCATAATAAAAATTAGTGTCATCTAATACATTTTATGTAGTGTACATTTTGTAGATTAGGGTAGAGAAGAATTACTCAAATGGGATTTTGAGTGTGGAGAAAAGACTAAGATTCATTGTTCCATCATACAATGATGCAAAATTAACACAATTCTACTAACAGGATATTGAAGAAAAATATAATCTCCTTCATGAGATGTATATGCACATTATGTATTGATATCCTATTGTAGCACACTATACAAACATTAGCTAATCAAATCAAATCCCGTCTATAAAATGAACAATTTAAATAGAAGTAAAACCATTTGCTACAGTTACTAGGGAATCAAGTCAGTAAGTGGACTCAGACTTAAGTATTCATTCTTTCTCTTGTGCTCAGGTCATCTCTGCCTTTCTCCAGTCTGCAATTTTAATTTGTGTCTTCATTATTGATCAATTATATGTATGATTTTAAGGATTATTCCTATTGCTTGCTACTAGATGATAAAACTCTCACAAATATAAGCCAGAATTCAAGGAAAGATCTCTCTCTCTCTCTCCCTCTCCCTCCCTCTCTCTGTATATGTGTGTGTGTATGTGTACATGTGTACAAATATATGTATGCACATATGTATATATGTATATTTTTGAAGAACAGGATATTCCTATTTTTGAAACTTTTAAAGTTAGAATGTAATGTAGATATAGAGTATTTTTTTGCAAGAAACATACTCATCAATTATTTTTATGTTTATTTACTTAATATCTACATGAAACTATGAATATATACATATATGTATATAGTATAGTTTTAAAATAAAACCAAAAGAGACCTGCAGAGGTTTTCAAGGCATTTAAGTGATTTAAGCATCATTTCTATTAAACCACCTATCCTACTCTCTATTGCTTGCCACTAGACAATAAAAATCTCATAAATGCAAGCAGAATTCAAAGGAAGAATGATATTGCTTTTGCTGGAACAAAAATGTCTTTTAAAAATTATTAAATACCGTGCATTACTAATGTATATTGCTATAGACAACTAGTGTAGTCTTCCAGCCTCATATTGAGAACCATTGACCTATTCCATCCTTCTACCTAGACTTCACAAATGGCCAGAGGATTTAATGACAAAAAAAAAAGAAAAAGTTCCAGAAAGCCTGCTCTGACATTTACTTCTTGTGTAACCATTGGCAAATCCCGTAAACTCTCTGAAATGCCTTTTTTTTAAACTTTTTTTCCAGAGAAGCATATTCAATATTTTCCTTTAGTAACTTTGACACCACTGCACTATATCACCAAGGGGACTGCATGTTTACTTAGCTTTAAAACATAACATTGTCTGTGTCTTGTTGCATTTTTAGTTTGTTGAATGTATCCCAATGACATTTTAATCTGGTTCAGGGAGTATTACAGGCTTAATGAAGCCTGCAGGTCTCATTTTGACACCTCTTGTGTAGTGGAGGGGCCTGCAGTTAGGAAGACCTGTGTTCAAATCCGGCCTCAGACACTGAACTAGCTGGGTGACCCTATGGCAAGTCACTTAGTCTCTGTTTGCCACAGTTTCTTCAACTGTAAAATGGGATAATAATAGCACCTTTCTCTCAGGATTGTCATGAAGATCAAATGAGATAATATTTGTAAAGTGCTTAGCACAGTACCTGATACTTATTAGGTATTAGGCACTTTATGTAAATGCCTTCATTTCCCATTAAATTCCATCATTGTAAAGGAAATTATCCTAACATCTAACCTGGGATCTTTCTCTAGTTTATATCTGTATTTTCTCATTGTTCCAAAAATTTAAACAACCATATCCACATGACATCATTTGGATAAAGTTTAAAAAATCAATTTCTTAGATTTTTTTTCTGCAAAAAAAAAAGTTTTGGTGTATGTAAATACAATCATTAATTTATCTTTTCCATTCTTAGAATATGTATTTAGCAACTGATATGTCAGTTGTGGATATCAGGTTATTGAATGTTTTTCTGAAAGGGAGTAGCATGATTTAGTCTCTTAGCTGTGGAGTGATCTTCCATTGAGGATCCTCTTCTCCCTTTAGGAGGCATGTACCTGAAATCAGAATGATTCTCTAATATGTCCTCATAAAAGGAAACAGAAGGCAGAAAGTGACCAGTACCTCAAAGTCTAAGAATTCCTCTCTCATGCCCTAGGCAAATCACTGTGAGCTTTTCCTTTCAGTTGCCATTTTCAACAGGGAGAGAAGAAATCACCTCTCCTTCACTCAAGGGAGATAGAGCACAAAAGACAAAGCTGGCATCTCAGCTCATCTTTATATACCATCAAGGTAAAGATGGGTACTTTTGGCTAGAGCTTTTTGACTTAGTCGCCAATCATTTTGCAGTCAGGATGCTAAGATAGGGTGCTAAAGTTCATGTCTGCCTCTATGGAAAGTAATCGCCCGCGACTGGTGCACACCTTCTAATCTTACCAGGTTAATTGGGGAGTATGTGTGTGTGTGTGTGTGTGTGTGTGTGTGTGTGTGTAGGATTGTCATCAAATCGATTAGAGATTGATCAGGACTTATATAACTGAAGTTTGAAAATGTAATCCTGATAATTCCTATGAAGTGGAATGGTTTTTTTTTAAATTAAAGTAAAATTATTGCTATTCATTTATTATATTGGAATAGTTAATAATGTTCTTCACTGGTTCCTTTTATATTTATAGGTAGCTCAAGAATGTTTATTTCACAGAGAGAAAAGGATGGGCATTGATCTTATTCATGATGATGTGGAAAAACAACTCTTGACAGTAAGTTTTGTTTACTCTTCTAGGCAACAAAGTACTTACTTATAAATATATATAAAAGTGTATTTATTGTGGAAAAATAGAGTACAATATCAATAAAAGATATTGAGTCATTATAGTAAAGATTTAAAACTTTAAGCAATCAACCATACCGCCATAATAAGGCACTTAGATAGTTATCGGTTTTTTATTAGTACCCTAACAATATAGATAGAGCAATTCAGTATGCATACCTATTTAAAATCATATCACACAGCATTTTTATATAAATAACTTGCTGCCTAAATTATATGATTTCAAGGTTTGAGAGAAGAATGCCATATCCCAAAACTACCTCTCCCACTGCAATTCTACAATTAGCAATTCATTTATGTGGATTTATTTTCTGTGAAATGCAAACATCCTTGTGAAAGGTAATAGAATAAACTTTATTAATCATTTGCCTCTTCGGTATAAATATGATTTCAAGATTCCTTTGAGAAAGCAGGCATAAAAAAAGAAAAAGAACATGACAACATAAAGCAACTTTAGGGAAGGAGGGGAGTGAGAGGGAAGTAGGAAGAAAAAGGATTGAAGGATAAATCCAAAGACTCTGCCTTCTGCAATAAGAACTCACTATTTAACAAAAACTGCTGGGAAAACTAGAAAATAGTATGGCAGAAACTAGGCATAGACCAACATCTTACACCCTATACCAAGAGAAAGTCAAAATGGGTACATGATTTAGATATAAAGACTGATACTACCAAACTAGGAGAGCAAGGAATAGTTTACCTATCAGATGTATGGAAAAGGGAAGAATTTATGACCAGACAAGAGATAGAGAACATTATGAAAGGCAAAATGGATGACTTTGATTACATTAAATTGAAAAGTTTTTGCACGAACAAAACCAATGCAACCAAGATTAAAGGGGAGCAGAAAGCTGGGAAACAATTTTTACAGCCAGTGTCTCTGATAAAGGCCTCATTTCTAAAATATATAGAGAACTGAGTCGAATTTATAGAATACAAATCATTTCCCAATTGATATATGGTCAAAGGATATTACTAGGCACTTTTCAGATGATGAAATTAAAGCTATCTCTAGTCATATGAAAAATGCTATAAATCAGTATTGATTAGAGAAATGCAAATTAAAACAACTCTGAGATACTACCTCATACCTATCAGATTGACTAATGTGACAAAACAGGAAAATGAGAAATATTGCATAAAATGTGGGAAAATTGGAACACTAATGCATTGTTGGCAGAGGTGTGAACTGATCCAATTATTCTGGGAAACAAATTGAAACTATGTCCAAAGGGCTATAAAACTGTGCATACCCTTTGACCTAGCAATAGCACTTCTAGGTCTGTATCCCAAAGAGATCATGCAAATGGGAAACCAACCCACATGTATAAAAATATTTATAGCAGCTCTTGTGTTGTCCAAGAATTGGAAATTGAAGGGATACCCACGACTTGGGGAATGGCTGGACAAGTTGTGGTATATGAATGCAATGGGATGCTACTGTGATATAAAAAAGGATGAGCACACAGACTTCAGAAAAATCTGGAAAAACTTATATGAACTGATGCTGAGTGAAATGAGCAAAACCAGCAGAACATTCTGCACTGTAACAGCCATATTGTGCAATGACTGACTTTGATAGACTTAGCTCTTCTTAGCAGTTCAAGCATCTAAGACAACTTCAAAAGACTCATGATGGAACATGCTATCCACATCCAGAGAAAGAACTATACAGTCTGAATGCAGATGGAAGCATATTATTTGCTCCTTTTTTTCTTCTGTTTTCTTTTGTTTCTTCTTTCTTGTGGCTCTTCCCATTAGTTCTAATTCTTCTATACATCATGACTTACGTGAAAATATGCTTAATATGAATGTATAGGTAGAGCCTATATTAGATTGCACACTGTCTTGGTGGGAGAGGAAGAAGGGAGAAAATTTAAAACTCAAAATCTTGTGGAAGTGAAATTGAAAACTAAAAATCAATTTTTTTTAAGAAAAGGATTGAAGGCACAGAAAGAGAAAGTTGACACTATTGAAGACAAACTGTCTACTATATAATTTATACCATTTTAACTAGGACTAGCCCTATTTAGCTGAAAAATAAATGAAAGATCTACTAATCATTATCCGAAATGTAATTGCACTCACAATGAATGGAAAAAAACCCCACTTATTAAGCATTTATTATGTGCTAGTTCCTGTACTAAGCCTAGGAATACATATTCAAAAAGAAAGGTAGTTCCTGCCCTCAAGGAGCTTACATTCTAATAGAAGATTGTATTTGTATATTTATAGATGTACATATACATCATATGCATGTGCATACAGGTATAAATACACATGCACATGTATTACATAGATGCAGGTATATACATGTAAATATTCACATAAAGGAATATATATGCCATGTGTGTATATACATGCATGTGTGCAGCATACATATGCATATATGCACACATGCATACATTGATTTGATTACTGTGTTAAGAGCAAGAGGTAGAAAGCAAGAGAAGTTAAATGGCAAGGGGAGTGATAGATGTTACAGCAGGCAGATAACAAGATGGCCTGGTTGGGTGGCTAGATGAGATATGAAGGTATAACATGCTCTGAAGCCAAATACATGTATTTTGAGTTAAGTTGGCTAGTTTGCTCTCAGTCATCAGTTAAGAAAACTGGGGCCTAGGCAAGGAGCTTCAAAAAATGAATTAACTTCCCCAGAATCTTGGGGACATAGATTCTGGATAATCTAGAGTACAGAGGTCCTGGCTCTAGTGGGGAGAAATAGGTCAGTGGTGGCAGCAGATGGAAAGATGGCCTGGGTGAACAGCTCTATATTAGTTTCTTTTCTATTTCAAGTATTCTAAATGTAGTCCATGAATTTCCTTTTTAAGAACACATTCGTACTTTATATTAATTGAGTTTTGCCTACTGTTCTTTCAACTTATCTTTCTAGTTTTTTATTACAATCCAGCAAATGGATTTGTGACTAGATAAGGATATTCCCATCAATAATGTAGATAACAACCCATCTGGGTCTGCCCTTCCTGTGTGAATCTTATCCAGGTACTCCCATAAGTTCATTAAAGGGAGTGCCATCCAACCTGCTGCAGGCCTTCCTTGTTTAATTTTTATATGGTAGCAACAGGCTGTACAATAGTAATTCCTTGTCCTTGCTACACAAGAACCATCTTTTTTCAATAACATATTTCTTTGGTAATATTCTTTAATCTGTTTCTCATTCACATTGCCTTATTTATAATATATTGTGACTATATATACCCACCATGCACTTTTTCATTGCCTTCACGATGATGCTCATTTTCAGTCAGAGATGGTGGTATTTTATGTTGTAAAACCATATAAAATTGCAGAGGAATATTGGTATTAAAAATATGGGCCTTTCAGAGAGAAGCTTAGTATCTTTAACATCTTATAATTTCCCAAAGGTAATCCATCCGACTTTCATGTATAACTATGTGTGTGGGGTGTGTGTGTGTGTGTGTGTGTGTGTGTGTGTGTGTGTGTGTGTGAGAGAGAGAGAGAGAAGAGAGAGAGAGAGAGAGAGAGAGAGAGAGAGAGAGAGAGAGATGGACACACACACACACTACACGCACACATATAAATACATATATCTATATCTATATCTATTTATCCATCTATCTATCTATCTATCTATCTATCTATCTATCTATCTATCTATCTCTTTGTTCATTCATTCATTTACTGAAGTAGATCTATAGATTGTCTATCCATCCTGCACATCATAGTTTAAATAATAGGCATTTTTCATCTACTTGTTTTTTCCAAAGGAGATAATTGAATCCAGACTCTTTTAATAATTTTTATTTTACCCACAAGCCTCTGCAATATTCTGGGGATCAATGTAATCAGTACAGTGTGTTTTATAAATAGGAGCTTCTGGAGGACCTCATCAAGAAATTCCTCCTCAATTTGGAATATACTTTGGATTTCCTCTATGACAGTGGTGAACCCCTTTGGAGAGCATATAGCTTTGTGTTTTATCCCTTACCTGGAATTAATAATGAAAAAAAGGTTACAAAATGAGGTTATCTCTGTTGAAAAATCTTTCAAGGAACTTTCTATGACTTTGACATATGCACAGAAGACAGTTTGTTGGAGAAAAGTTATTAAGGCATTATTTTGTTCTACTTCATCCAGTCTCTCACCATTCCAGTTCATTCCAGCACACTGCTGCCAAAGTAAATGTGACTTCCCTCTTCGACCAACTCCTGAGTTCTATTTCTTCTAGAATAAAATAGAAATTTTTCTGTTGCCTTTTAAAACCCTGCATGCCCTGGCTCAACCAGGGGTATGCTGGTACTAGTCTAAACTGGCTCCTGAGAGCTGATTGTTCTACTTTCAAAGTGACCATTTAAACCTCAGAAATCAGCAAATGCTACTAATCAGAGTTTGATTTGCTGTTTTGTTGAATTGCTAGACTTAATAAATGTTAAACATTTGCCAGCATACCTTAGATCCCAACCCCTTTCCAGCCGCATTGGACATTACTCCCCACACATACACTTTGAAGTTGACCAAACTGATCACAACTCTGTTTCTCATGCGCAGTACTCACATTACTCCAGCTCTTGTTTCTGTACCTTTGTAGTAGTCATCCCTCATATATGGACTACAGTACCTCCTTAACTCATAGAGTTCCTTTTTTCCTTTAAAATTCAGCTCAGACATCCTCTTCAGCATTGAAGGCTTTCCTGATCCCCCAAGTGCTAGTGTTCTCCTTCACATAGCACCTTGTAACTATTTTGGAGATATTCATGCATGCATATGTGTATGTATTTGTATTTGTTAACTTTATATTTATGCTATATATATATTTATTATGCACTTGCTCTCTTCCCCACTAGAATTTTGTGTGAATGAACTATCTCATTTTTTTGTACTTGTATCCTCAGTCCCTAGCACAGTGCCTGGAACATAGCAGGCACTTAACATTTTTTCACTGATTGA